TAGTCTAGAGTGGAAAAAAAGAAAAGTATTGCTTGCCCTCATCCCTCACATTTTAGGATGTACAGATTACTCAAGAAAAGCAGTTTGATTATGTCAAGTCACTGAGAGCAAATTTGAAGCAGCAGCTATCTTTCTCAATGGACTGTAACAAACTTCCTAAAAGATGTTACAGAAATAACAGCAGTGATGATGGCCGAATGCTACAAGTAACTCTACAACTATGCAATGGCAAGATTGCAAGGAACTTATCTTTTATAGCTAACGTCCAAGTTCCTCCTTCCAAATGTAAATTAATAGACATGCAGCAGTATCCAGTCATGCCTGCACATTTCAGGCAGCTCATCTATAACGCTCCGTTCCTCAGCCAGCCAGCAACTTGAATCCTCTCACTTCACACTTCCAGTTCTCTTGCTATCTTCGGCAAGAAAAACAGGTTACATCTACATTTTAGGTCAATTTCTGTTTGTACTGGAGACTGTACTGGTGAAACCTCCTTTTAGGCTTCTCTGAGATACAAACGGTGACTTTTAACACAGTGATGTAGTTCGATGGGCAAATCCTAGTCTAATTCTGCAACAGAATAAGTACAATTTTGAGAACAAACAATGGAAAGCAAGTCTTCTGTGATAAGCAAGTACAAAAGCAAAAAAGAAAAAAAGAAAACCAGAAGTTTTATATATTTTGTCCAAGTAAGTAAGAAAAGTGAAATCGGTGTTCCTCACTACTTAGTTTTATCTTCAAAGCTCCCCTGAGCAAACAAGACCACTGTAGGCAGAGAAGTTCCATTAGCACTACCGGTGGTTACTCTGAGTAATCCTTCAGATTTCAGTCCGTGAGAGCTGGCTCTGCAAAAGCAAAGACACGTGCAAGGACAGCAGCTGCACAATGGTCGTCTTTCACTTGGTATTTTTTATGTTACACACGTTCGAGACACCATGGTGCCAAGACCCAACAAAAATTGCACTATTAAATGCAGAACTATATTCCCCTTAAAATATTATCAACAGGAATGCATCACTGATATTTCACTTTATAACTGATTTAATGTTCTTCATGGAGTCTGAAGAATAAATAAAACTCTAAGCTTTCTTCTACACCTTCAGAACACAAAACTTACACATACATGCTTTTTAAATAGATTATGAAGAAGATGTGTATTTATTTCTTCGTATACTAAACTCAAAGGCTTAACTGTTAGATCATAATCTAAAGCTTCTTCCTCCATCTTCCTAAAAGGCTAGGGACTAGTTGATTGTAACTGAAACAAATTAGTTATAATCACTATTAAGCCATATCAGCCAGTCAAATTTCAAAGGAAAAAAAAAAAGTAGCAGTAATAATTATCAAATTATGAAAGTATCCACTATGCTGCCTAGATTTTTAAATAGAGTAGCTATTCTTTGGGATGAACTTGCATCATACTATTCAATAACACTGTAAAAAGGTGTTCTGCAGAGAGAGGCTCTTCTAATGTCACAGACAAAGAACAGAGTGAGAACAGCACTACTGTGCTTTATTCCCAATAAATTAACAATTATGGAGGAAGTAGGTGAAAGTATTGCTCACAAGTTCAAAGTATTTTAATTTTAAAGGTGACCGTATCTCACAGGGACACCTGCAATAAGCCATGAATTACATCTGAGAAGTTGAACAGTACTCTTCACAAGAACCACTATTCTACTTATTCCATCCTCTAAAATTCTTACCATCCGATCTTTGTAATTCAATAAAATTTCCTTGAATTATTTCAGGAAAACATCAAAGACTTATAGCCTGACCTGTAAGTCAATGTAGGCACTACATAAATTCTTTGTGGTTGCACTAACACAATAATTCCTCAGGAATTCCACAGGACACATCATCCAAGACCAGAGTAAGAAATCATCAGCAAATGATGCTCACGAGTAAGAACAGTGGTAAGTAATCCGAAACTGGTTTAAATTAACATCAAGCACTTCTGTTGGCAATTAAGAAGACAACAATTTCAAAGATGGACTGAGCTCTCATTCAGTATCACTTTCAAGATCTAACGATGTAAAAGAGCATGCTTCCGTACTTCCTTCTGGGCCCTTCTGCTCAGACATCCTATTGATGTTTTAAAGATGACATTTAGCAAATCCTTGAATTTGCATTGAGAAGCACAGTGCAGAACTAAACAGCATCTTTTTACCTGTTCCCTCAGATTCATATGCACCATTTTCCCTCATAACAATAGAGCACACAGAAGAGGATTACTTCACAAGCAGTGTATAAGGAGCGTTTTCTTTTGCTCAGGGAGCAGCTGAAAAGCACATGACATTTTCTCCAATACCAAGGTGAAACCCCAGGGAAGAAAAAATATGGAATTTGCACTAAATAACTGTCATTAGTTAAAATGTCTGAGCTGCTCCAGCTAGTACATATCTCAATAACGTTTTCGTTCCACTGTTGGTTACGCTTAACATCCCCAAGAAGAAACACAGTGTTCTTCTTTTATTTTAATTACCACCCCAACCAAGGAGACCAAATGGAAAGTTAACAGCGCAGCACCCTGCACCTTTGTGCTGCTGCCTTAACTGCCCAGGAAGGAAAACTGCCTCGATTCCCTCAGGTTTGTCACTCACAAATGGAAAGCCACTTCTGTGGCTTTATTTCAGGGCCTTAAGGCATCCATTCAGAGGCTTCCCTGTTACAATGGGAAGTGTTGCGGTCAAGGACACTTTGTGCAAATACGTACCCATCCTTGGTTACATTCTCAGCCTGGTTTTTGAAGCTGTCACTTTGAATCTGTTCCCAACTCCTATCGACTTGTCAATTTTGCAGTTACACTGAATCCAACACAAAGGCTCTGAGGAAAGCTTTGTATGCGTCAACTCTGCCACAGCCCAACAGCCAAAGACTTCTGAAGGTTTTTTCTCCTCCACTATCATCATCACCTTTCCACACGTTCCTTACACCCTACTCTGCAGAACAGCCACATCCAGATGTCCTCTTGCTCGCATACATAAAAAGGACACAGCACAGAGATGAAACTCCAGAAGGTTCAGAGAATAAACATAAACCTGGAAGTAATTTCTTAAGTGCCACAAAAGAATGTCAGCCTTTTTCCTGGTCTAGTTAGTGTCGCTGACTCCACTGATGTGCCACTATGGCAGAAGGGGGACCACTATGGCTACACGACGATATTTGCCATGCTGCTTACTCCAACAGCCCAGAGTTTACACTAAGTTTAAGTTATTTTCCCTTTTATTACCATTTGCACTCAAAACATATGAAAAAACACAACTTATCCAAAATGTTCCCTGACTCTTAGCATGCAGATGCAGTCTAGTGAGACACTCACATTTAATATTATGCTGGAAGAAGAAACATGAAGACAACCACATTACTTGTGCAGACATCCTTCATCCAGCCAACATATGTAACTAGGTTACTTATTTAAATTAGCTTTAAATTTTCCTAATGTAGTATTTTACAAAAACACCAATTTCATCGTTATATTTAGAAATGCCCATGCAAGCACTTTCTAAAACATCCATTTGACCTGTCTTTGCAACTTGAAGCTAACAATGTTGGCCCAGGAAAACAAAATGAAATTAATTGAATCTTTCCTAAGTTGTCCAAGATGAAAAAATGTGTGGTATTAGAGCCTGTCCAGTGGGATTATCTGCGACTTTTTCAGTTTGTGTGTTTTATCTATCTTTAGAAATGATCCTTTAAATACTGAGCAGTCTGTAAGTACACAGGATCTGGTCTCCCATAACAATACAGAAGTATTTTCCTGTAAAGTTCACAGAGGACAGAGATATCAGAACCTCCAACTTCATCGGTTTCTAGTTAACAACGTCTTCCATGACACCATTACGACAGAAGTCTGAAAAAACACACAGCCTTGGTAGATCATCCCACACTCTGTTAAACAATGTGGAAATTGTTTCCTTGACCCTACAGAGAAGCTCTTGCCTGCCGTTAACTAGAACACGGGACTATTCCTTCCCCGGTTCGTTGGAACCAGAAGCAGGGAACAGCGCGTTTTTGCAGATAAGGAGCACACCAACACCCACTGACAGTGCCGCCCGCCTCCAGGGCTCTGACCAGCACAAGCAACACTGCGTGGTTCTGTTAGTTCTCCCTCTGAGACAGAGAGATGACAAGCAGAAACTTGAAGCAAAGGAGCCACTTTTCAGCTTTGGAAGCGACGAACTATTTGAGAAGCTGTTTAGCACCATAAAGTTTATAAATTTCCATCTGAAAACATTTAACTCCAGAGGACTGCTTCAGCTGCCAACATTGGCCAGGAAAACATTACACTTACTTCCCAGGAGAAGACCTTTCAGAGCCTACAAGAAGAGGAGCTGATCGCGAAATAAAGTTGCCTTCGAGGACATTAAAAATAAATAAATAAATAAAACACAGAAACCTTTGTTCGCGTTATAGGTCAAGGGCATAAGACCTACACTTGAAGTTTAGGGAAAGCGTACCTTTTCCCCCCTTCCTCTCTAAATTACCTTCTGACAAGGAGAGACTATTCAGGGGGCATTCAGGAACCGCGCTCCCACAGCCTGGGGGTGCCATGAGGCACCACTCACCAACATTTCGGGTAATTTCTCGCACCCAGGCTCAGACAGAGCCCGAATCGCGCTCAGGGTGCGAAGCACAGAGCGGGGAAGGAGCGAAAATGGAAGAAGCACAGGAGGTGAGGCCAGGCCAGCGGGGAGGCACCTCTACCTGAGGGAGCTGCAGCCGGGAGGAGCGGGCGGCTGGGAGGGTGAATTTGGGCAAGGTGTGAGGTGATTCCAGCGCCCTGAGGCACAACGAGGAGCCTCGCTCCGTCCCCAGCCGCCGAGGACACTCTCACCGCGGCGACCGGGCGGCAGCGACACCCGACAGTCGCGACAGAGCTCGCCCATCGCCTCACCGCACCGCCACGGGGGCTCGGTCACCGGGAAGGACCCCGCCGGTTACCGGGGACGGGGAGGGAGAAGGACGGGGACACCTCCCCGGGGGGGTGGGGGACTTACGCTCGAAGTCGTCGTCGTCGTCGTCGTCGTCGTCGTCGCGGTCGGGCTCCTCGCCGTTGGACTCGGTCTGCATGGGCTCCCCGTCGAAGCTGACCACCCTGCGGCCGCCGCCGGCCGCCTCCCGCTCGCGGGCATCCCGCAGGCGGGTGAAGTACTCGGCGGCGAACCCGACCAGGTCGGCCGGCCGGTGCCGCAGCACCTCCACGGTGTAACCCTGCAGCAGCTCGGTCAGGCCCGGCGGGATCTCGATGCTCATGGTGCCGGCGGCGGCGACGGGGGGAGGAGGAGGAGGAGGAGAAGGAGGAGGTGGAGGAAGAGGAGAACGAGCAGGCCGCCGCCCCGCAGCCGGTTGTGACGGTGGCGGGCTCGGGGCCTCCCTCGGCGGGCGCCGCCTGCCTCCCGCCGCTCCGGTCACACACACACGGGGGGGGCCGGGCCGCGGCGGCAGCTCCCCGGGCTGCGCAGGCGCTGCGGCGGGCGCCGAGCCAGCATGGAGGCGGGCGGCCGCGCGCAGGCGCCGGGCGCGCTGAGGGGAGCGGCTGAGGGGGAGCCGCTCCCCGCCTCAGGTCTGAGGGAGGGGAGCCGGGGGGAGCCGGGGTGATCGGCCCCGCAACCCCTCAGGAGTTCCCCGTACGCAGGGTTTGGGTGTCCCCGGGGGTGTAGGTGGCTGTCTGGGTGTGTTGGGGAGGAAGCGGGCTGTGCCCTGTCCTCCTGCCCCGCAGGCGAGGGCTGGAGGGGATGCGAAACGCCTTCGTGTGGTGCTTGTGAATCTGGCTTTGAAATTAATGTGCTGTGATGTGGTAGGGAGTAATTATAAACTGTGGAAGGTGGCGGACGCGCTCGCTCCTCGTCAGCCAGGATCCGTGGACACGCACAAGTGTGTGGCAGAAAGGCGTTTTTTCACAGCTTTCCTCAGGTTAGTGACCCCCTCACACTAATTCCATCCTTCTTCATCTTTCTGCCAAGCCACAGTGCCCCCTGAGCGCCACAAAGGTAGCAGGAGAAGGAGGCTTTTCCCCTTGGGGTTACACTGAGGGCCTCTGACCCCCTGGTTCTGGTCAAAATTCAGTCAATGAACACTCTTAAAGCTGCTGAGCACAGGAGAATACATGAGCGTGTCTTCGGACCTTTGGGTAAAAGCCATAATGCCATCATCTGTGAAATGGTGGCAAGAACGTTTTGCTTAACGCCAAGCACCTCAGAGCCATGAAGGGTTTGGGAAAAGTGAAACACCTCGTTAATCGCTTACACGTGGGAGCTTTGGAGACGCCTTGTATGTTCCTAAATGCGTTACTCGGGTTTTTCATGTACTCTTCGTACAAAACCTCCGTGCTTCATGCTGTTTGCATGTTCAGGGAAGGTCTGGCGGATGCCCAAGGGCAGCCGACTCGCTCCGTGGCACGGGGCCCTTAAGGTTTGACGTTGCTGGAAAGCTGCTGGAGAAGGTAGGCTGTGCAAACGTGAGGGGCGCAGGGACGCTGGCTGGGTGACACCACTGCCTGTTGTCAATGTAAATGTTTTTGTTTAATTCTTCCTTTGTTTCAACAATAAAAGGGCAGAAATCAACTTGTACTCAAAATACGGATTCCGCTTCGAAGCCCAGAATTGGCTGAGGCGATTCATTGTGTTGTGGTTTTGTTTGCTCGTGTGCCAAAAGGTCCCCTCGCTCATCCAGATGGTTTTCCCACACTCCCATGCAAGAGAGTCTGCTCATCACTGTTGCTTGAAGGGCATGACTGCGAACACCCTATTTGGTGCTTTTCCTGGCTTTTTTTTTTCAGGTGAGGAAGGACATTAGGGAATCTTGTGGCTCTTACAACAGCACCCAGCCTCTCTATTAGGTGTTTTGTGTAATATGGCTCCCATATTTTATGCCGGTAAGATTACTTCTTGTATGTGATCAAATTAATAAAAAACAAGCACTGGAGGTAGATCTTCCACATCTCATCAGTTTATCTGGAGGTTTAGTCTGAAGCTTAATTTATTTCTGTTTTTTTACAGCAGCCACAGTTGCTATGTCCCTTTTCTAGAAAAACAATGAATTCTGCCTTTTAATTTATCACTCCTGCCATATCATCTTTCTTATGCTCTCAAACAATACAGCAGCACATTTCAACTGCTCAATGCAAATACTTTAACTACTGATAGAGCTGATGAGGAAATGGTTTTGATCAAAAAGAAAACCATATTTGGTTAGTCTCACACAAAATGAAGCAAGGTTTCTGATGCGATCCTTCCTTTGCCAGTTAGGTGCTGCAGATACTACTGGTGGTGAAGAGTTAAAAATGAAATTTAAAAAGTGTGCTGTAAGAAATAAAAAAGCATTGGCAAGTAGGGGCAGAGGAAGAAAGAATGTCTAATTCCAAGGGAATACAATTATTTTTCTTTCCCAGTCTTGCACGACAGCCAGCCAGCCACCTGACAATTGCCTGCTTTTGGCATTAGTCAGCTCTTGTATTAGCTTTTAACGTTTGTTGATAATTTTCTCTCATTTGTGCCTGTGTATATAAATCTGGTTATTTATATGAAAAAATGTGTTACCAGTAAATATTGTTAAGTCTCTGAAGAGCTACATTGTGTTAGCCTTCTGATATTTATATGTCCACATATAACTAATCAGTTTCAGAGGAATGCAAACAGTAGAGGTCTGTTCAGCCTCTTTCTGAAGGTCACTGGACAAAATAAAAAGCATCCAAGGTCACATGAAGCAGTTTCAAACTGTTTTACACCATCGATTATCCCAGTTCTTTATATATTTTTATTTTTTATTTTTTATTTTTTTTTATGAGGGTCTGAACTGATGGCACCTGTAGGCAAGAGACTTGTATGCGGTGGAGTTAGTTGTAATGCTGCCTGCTGTGCATGCATATAGCTCATATTAAGCTTTCTTTCGACCTAAATTTGCATTACTTTTTTAATTGCTGCTATAATAAGCATCCACATTAGAAGAATGCTAGAACAGAAATTAGAGAAAAGAAATTAGGAAATGTATTTGCAGTCTTAGTATGATCCCCTTTATTATAGCATCTTTAATTCCTCTAGCATGACCAATGCAATTCCTTTCCACTGGTTTGGAGTGTATTCAGCACCCGGTATGGAATTATATGGACTTCTATAATTGGTGAAGCTGGTCTCCACATTATTCCCATCTATCTATCTCTATATTTAGAATCATATTTTGTCCTAATACTTTCTTAGTATCTGAGAACTGTCCAAGTTGGGATATTCTATGATTCTATTCCTATATTTATCATGTCTCAAGGCTCCCAAATGCTGAGGTCTCTTCCCTTCACTCTGCATTTCCTACTGAGTCTTAAGTGACTTTGATGTTCACTGTAGTGAGACTATGATGGAGCCTCAGTGCTTGTCCTAGCAGCAGGAGCAGTGAAGTTGCACGTAAAAAAAAAAAAAAAAAAAATAGTCTCTGTAATCTTGCACTGGGGAAAAATGATCAAATTAACCCTCCAGACTGGCTCTTAAAAACTAAAATAAATCCCTTTTATGACAAGTAATAATTTACTTCTCATAAACCTTTCAGCACCAGCCAGAACTCAGACGCTATAGAAGCATATGCACATCTTGGTTTAATTACACATGCCTTCAAATTCACTACAAGGAATTCAGCACCAGGATAATGCAAGAGCACGCTAACTGCTCTGGTGGTTGATAGTAGAAAACACAAGCTCTTGTTTAAGGGAAGTGGGATTTATTACCGTGAGTAGAGCTTTTGCGTGTTGCAGGAGGTGACACGCTAGCAAGCCCTTTCAAACTGGGTGCATTCCAAAGCAGCCCTCAGTAAAAGCCAGGTTTGGGCCTTATACAAAGAAAATGAAATCCTGCCCTTGGCTTACTGAGTTGCAGAGTTCACTGTTGTGGGATGCTTTTGACACAAAACGTGCTGAGGAATAGATTCAGCAGTGGCTTTGGAATTCAGCAGGTTGGTGTGGTTTCCAGTTATTTGTTAGTTCTAGGTGGAAGGAAGGATCATCTCTTGTTCCCCATTTCTCACACTGTCCTTCCAGTCATCTGTGGCTAACTGTTGTTGGGACTGGTTATTAGGGGTGCAGTACCTTTGGTCTGACCCACTTCAGGCTTTATGAATTAATCCAGTCAGAGTCCAGAGCATCTTAGCACCCCAGGTGGTAGGGTTTTTTGCTTTGTCCTATACCACTGCTGCTCATAGTAAGAAGCCGTGTGCAAATAATTTAAAGGCCACATTGAAAAGTATGAAAACATTAAAACAGAGGGAGTTGAATGTTGTATTTGGGATCAAGTAGGCAGAATTGTGTGCCGTTTTCCTGTGTTTCTTGCCAGTTAACTTCTTTAGTTTACTGCAAAGCCCCTCCACCTAGCACCATGGAGCCTAGAGTTGAGGGCAAACAAAATCATTTGATGATCTTATGCAAAGTTTTGTAAACCTCAGGTCTTCATAATTTCTACATCTGCCATCTGTGCTAGTCTCTCCTTCAGAAGCAGTCTGTTTTGTCCCCACGATCACATTAAATGCTTTTTTTCTGTACCTACTCAATTTTTACTATGCTTTTCATGCTTGCACTTCTGATCTCCACATCTCAAAATTTGGATTCATCTCTGCTTTACATGGCAGAAAAATTGTCTTTTTTTTTTCTCTAATACACAGTAAAAGTGCACATACATTATTTGTGCACAAAGTACAGAAAACTTGTGAGTTTTCATTTTAGCAGAGTGTGTAATGGTAACAAAAGAAAGAGTGATCCAGGGCTTGGCTAGCAGGATACAGAGATCCTTCAAAACAGTGCACAAGATAAACCAGCTTCTCCTGCTTCTGTTTGTTTTTATTCTTAAAGTACTAAACCTAAGAAACCAATGCTTTGTTTCTCTAATGAGCCAGTTTGCTTGTGGCAGTAAGCAGGATTCAGCAGTATTTCTTGTTGGCTTTTGGAGTGAGTAGAATGAGTGCTGAGTATTTCAATAAATGATACAGAACTGTCTATCACTAGCACCAAGACAGGAGGAAAGAAGTCAGTTTTGGAACGAATATATATAAGTACAGGCTTCAGCTGAAATATGTTACTTTGCCACTACCTTTAGTCAATCAAACATATTTTGGATAATTCTTGGGAAGTTATGTTGCTGCATTCATTGATAGATCTCAAAGCAGGAGAAACATCTGTATCAATTTTCAGATTTTCATTGACATAATTTGTTTTGTGAACACTGATAACATTGATTCTGTTGGTAACAATTACAATTTTTCAGGTAGTGCAAATCATCAATTCTAAAATATCTGATTTTGTAAAACATTTGTCCTAGGCATTGCCTTGATGTAAACATCTGAACATCAGTCATGTCACACGTAAGACATAAAACCCCAGATGTGTGGATATAGATAAAAGTTCTGTCTGTGACATCAGGCATGTGGGACAACCACGTTGTTTAAAGCACTCTGAACAACACCACTTAGCAGTTGTAAAATTTATGGTTTCCACATCAGAGAAGCTGTAAGCAACTGCACTCCAATGTGTAAAGAGCAAATATGCAAGTAAGAACTCAGCTAGTCCTTGGGTTCTCTTGAATATGAAGTGAGAACTGTACCCACTTTGGCTGGACTTTTGTTTCTGTCCTTGGCACTGAAAACATCGCATGAAGAACTCTCCAGTGAAGTTGGTATGAAGAGAGCTTGTGGAAATGGAACCTTTGTGCATGCCCCAGGATAACCAGTCAGACACAAGGTAGCCTTAGCCCTGCTGGACTGGCTCTGCAGAGGTTACAATACCTGGGCGTTGTTACAGAATAAAGGTAAAAGATTTGCGGATTGTTTTGTTCTACGAGAAGAAGCAAATTAACCGGCCTGTGTTTTGTTCAAAATCTAAATCTGAATCTGAAGTATCAATTTCTGTCTACGTTTGTCAGCAGACCCTGTTCAAACAGAAGTTT